ATATACTAAGAAAACCATTTGACTAATTGATGCTAAATAAGGACCACATGTACCTGCCCTGATTTAACTACACATTCGACTTAAAGACAGGCTTAGGGAACAGATCTCATTTGTAACCTGGGTACTGCCTGTATACACTCCTCATTTGTGCGATGGCACAGAAACTCTGAACACTGAGAAACAAAGTACAAGTTCCTAAGTACATCCATTAATGAACTAATTGAAACATTGGCTTTTCAGTTTGTCTAGGACAGAGGTATGAAAATCAAGCTTTATATGGCTGCGTTTGCCAGTCTTTACTCCAGCTTTGCTTCCTTGCCATTCTTGCATCAGATTTGCACCGAATGTCAACAACATCAACATAAAAGAACTTACGGTAATCAACAAACATTATACCAAAAAATCCACCCTCCCAGACACAGTACAGCTTACTTAAGCCAGCGTTCCTTAACCCAATCCTTGGGGACCCACCAGACAGTTCACATTTTTGTTCCTTCCCAGCTCGCTGCCAGACAGTCCACATTTTCATCAAGACAGAGAAGAAGAAATGGAGGTATACAGTGTCAGGCAGATTCTGATAACTGATGCCCATTAAACAAAGAACTTAGACTACATTTGAGTTCCTACAGGCCTACCATGAGCAAAAACCAACTGAAAATGAAGGAAAGGGGCTGTTTCACCTTAAAACAAAGCTGCCTTCAGATGCTATTCCTGCTATGGTTCTTATAAAAGCCAGATTCATAGAAAAAAAAGCAGACCTGGGGCTACAATTTCTAATAAATCAGAACAAAATAAAAAAGAAGCTAGTCTTGCAGGAAATGACTCCGAGTCCCTTCTACCAGCCTCAGAAAGAATTATGGTATTAAATCAGTTTTAATCAAAAGATATAAGAATCAATTCACTTTTGCATATAAGAAGACTGTGTTACAAACACACAGGCAGAAAATATGACATGAGCTTTTTTTGTAAGGTATTTCTCTTGCTGTTTCCTTCCATACCCTGGAGCGTTGTGAATGGGAATTGGGTCCCAAGTGTTATTCTCCGGTTGCCATTTGAACTGGAGGGCTGCACTAAGCTGGACTGTACCGGGGACGCGGCCAAAATCAATTTCAACATCTCCCACTGAAAACGGCTCTATGAAGGGACCAGCAAGCAAACACTTTGATCACGCGGTATTTCCCCGGCCATTTTCCTCCACATTAATGTTTGATCCCCCCCACGGCGAGCGCCGCCGTTCCAATTCAAAGGGCGATTCGAACGCCAGTCACTCCATTAGCTAGCTTTACGTCTCGTGCCAGTACGGGTATTTACGGCCAAACCGGGAGGACCCAAGGCACCACTGGCCCTCGTTAAGTTTCACAATCGCCGGTATTCCTGACAGATGCGCGTGGGTGTTCTCTCCGGGATAAAAAAATAAAAAGTCAATGAATTTAATTTGAGGCCACTATCATGCCAAACTGTAGACGCCGGACGCGGGCGTTACGAACATTTGCAGAAACTCAGCTAGAATAGTTTTGTGGAACTGATTTATAATTTCCCCCAGATACAGAGCATGAGTATTTAAGAGTCCCTACAGCCTTGCATACTCTGCAGAGTCAGTTTTTATTATTATTTTTATTTTTTTCTTTTCCGTCTGGGGGCTGGTTTACTGAGCAGACTTGCAGAACGTGAGCATGCAAATTAGAGGATAGCGCAGCGCACCTGGGATGTCCCATTGCCTACGAAATCCGCGAACTTGTGTCAACTGCACGTTTCTAATTCTGACAGCCAGGCTTTAGACACACCTTTGCCATTAGCGTCCACATTTCTACAGCAGCTTAGCACCTATTCTTTGAGTATTAGCACCTCATAATGTGTGGGAGCCTGTATGCTGTGAATATCGTTCACGCTTCACCGGTACATGCGCAACTGGATGCCATAGACATCTTGGCTGGTGACAATACAGGAGTCCCACTAATGTCCCCTGGAATTTCACTGAAAAAGCTGCCATTTAACATAGAATGTCAAGAGCCAATCAGAGAATTTAATGAGCCAGTCAGAGAATGCCATGAGCCAATCAGAGACTACCATGAGCCAAACAGAGAATGCCATGAGCCAATCAGAAAATGCACATTGTTTGGCTTATTTTAACATTTTAAAAACACAGAGCTGTTACTACATAGCAATAAAAAAAAAAAAAAAGTAATTAAATAACAACAAAAATTATTCTGCTTTAGATTTTCCCCAGGATCCACACATCAACTGCACTAACAGGAGTAAACCTCTGCAGGTGTCCTTTAAAAATGAAATTAAAAATGATTGAACTATAAAATGATTGAAATTAGTCAGGAATGTGTCTGTGTCAGAGACAATGTAAAACATAAAATGCATGATTATCCCTGCAGGTCTATGAACAACTGTTCATGAACAACTATCAATGGCTGGAAGCTTCACAGACTTGCATTAGATTAAAAAAAAAAACTGGAATTTCTTGCAAATTTTCCACCCATGTTCTTCGCATTCTACAAAAGCTATACTTAATCTACAATTAATCCAAAGAGTAATGATGATCAAGTTCTTTCAGACCAAGACATGGAAATATCACCATAACCCACCAAAAAACAGCTTGCTGAAGTTTTAAAACATCAAACGATTCATTATTGCCTGTAAACATAATATCTAAACCAACAGATAGGGGGTAAAGGTACTTAAAACCTTTTGTGTAAAAGGAAAACTAGAATAGCTCTCAAAAACATTTCCATGGACAACACATCATCGACAGGATGAGAAGAACCGATGTGTTATACCTCATTTAACCTGGGCACTACGTTGCTGAAATATCAGGAAAGACACATTTCAATACATTTAGACAATGTACAACAATTAAATTATCGCATGTCAGTGCTATCTGAGCCACAAACTATGAAATACTTCAAAACATGCCTTAGATTACACTGTAAAGGATTACAGTGAAGAAGTTCAAGCAGACGCCATGAGGCATTGAAAAACAAACTCAGGAATGTATTGGCAGTGCCCAACTGTAGTCTTTCTCAAAGGCTTAACTTAACCATTGACCTCAAAGATTTAACCCAAGAGATACATGGCTTTTAGCATCAGCGTCACTACAACACTTCAGGTTTCAAAAAAGGTACAGAAAAAGATTATGAAAAAAATCCCTTTAACTGAAATATATGCCATTATGAAACCTTGCAGCTGGATCACAAAAAGGTTCTGCAACTAAATACTGAATAAAAAAATGTAACATATATGGAATATTGGATGAAACACAACACACAACACAACAGCTTCTTGAGATGCATTACACAAAAAGGTGAAAAGATACACTTATTACTTCTCGATTCACCTCTTGACATATGTAAAATAATAATAATAACAATAATAAAGGACAAAGCCCACAGCTTTGTGGAGAGAGAGAACGTCAAAGTACAGGTACAGCGGCTTACTTTTTTTTCTTAAACAGAAGTATGAAAACGGCCTGGCCCTTGAGTTCCATCCCAATGAAGCGGAATGTGTTTCTTAATAACACGCAAAACAGGGCGGAATATGCAACGTGGGAGAATAGAGCCAGAATATCCAACGGAGAATCAACAGCAGAAGCAAACTAAATAAACACATGTCAAAGGCATTAAAGCCACGACTTGTTGACAGAAGCCACAGGATAGGAGGAAACATTTGATGCCTTGGCCCATTTTTATGTATTTATTTTATTTTGTTTGACTTTCGCTTTTTTCTTTGCGCGTTGAGTATTACAAAAATCTGCGCGTACAGAATAATTCCAATAACCGTGTCAATACCTTAGCTACAATGTTTATTTCCACACCGGGATTTACGCAACAGAAATAGACAAAGGGAGGCAGGATAGAATTCAAAGACTGATTCAAAATATTACATTAAGCACTCAATACAAACAACCTGTGCTGGTTGTTACACATTTGTCTTTTATTGTGGTTGAAAAGCTATTCATATAGATATTTTTGTTATCGATTTATTTGTGTAAGAGCTACATGTAACCTGTCATGGACTAGTTAAGATTAAGAAGGGAATTAGCAAATATCTGTTAATGATCTCAGTAGTAAGTAACTGTCACGGGATGTTGTTTCAGTTTTGTCAACTGGGGATCAGTGTAATTAGGTGATTTGTTTGCATATCATCTTGAATTTTTGCAAACTTGATTAATAAATGTACGGTCTTAAATCAATGAACAAATGAATATATAAAAGATGGAATCGAATTTGGTCAGTCTTACCCAGCCATCACTGGGTTTCCAGGCCATATACTGGAAGCTATGGGAGCAAGGCAGGGAATAACCCAGGATGGGGCACTGACTCCTAGCAGGGCACGCATACGCACACCTACGGACAATTTGGTAACTCCAAATCACTTTAGCGTGTTTTGGACTGGGGTAAATCAGAGTACTGGGCTGAGATGATACAGGAAGATCATGCATGAGAACTTCAGGCTCAGAGGTGTAAGGCAACAGTGTTAGGCACTACGCCAGCGGTCAGCCTTACCTCCAAACCAACTTACGGCTTTTTGGTTAAGGCTACCGTACTTTGTGACTGTGACCACTAGGTGGAGCCAATGACATGTAGTTTGAACTAGATGGCCAGCCCATGCCACCATGCATATATAAAAAAAATTGCCATTTTACCCCATGGCGTGAATAGATTACATGTAATCTGAATATCAGAAATTCTGGTTGCGTGACAAGTTTTCTAATTACGACAAAAACAAGTCATGACCATACATATGCGTGTTGCAATTTAGGTTTATTTAAATCCTACATTCCTCTCACGTAGGTATCAAACATTACATTGTCTATGTCTGAATATAGCTTAAAAACGCCCAATTTAGTAAACAATGTGGTGACTGTGTCTTTTAACTACAATACAATAAAATAATCCATGTAGAGGAAAAGGCACTAATTACAGAACATCCATTTTCATCTGTTTGTCCAATTCCCTCTTCACCTCATCTTGCATAGAGGCTTAGCCAGCAGAGCCATGTCCCTATGGGAGAACATGCAGACTTCAGATACAGAGCTTGGAGGTGGGATTCAAATTCCCAACCCTGGAGGTATGAGGGAACAGTGCTCCCCACTGGACCATCGTTATACCTAATTTCCAATCTGAAGAATAAAATACCATTGATTACCAGCAGGTTGTGCTGTCTGCCTTTTTTTTCTAAATTTACTCCTTTACATTTCAGAATCAATACGTTCTACCCTATTATTCACACTCTTCCTTTTCTTTTATTTATGTGCACAAATTATATACAAAGTATCACTATTAAAATAAAACAATAAAAGAATCAGATTACTAGAATTCAATATTTTTATATCCCATTCATATCTTTAAATCAAACAGCTGTCCAGTTTGCACGTATGCATGTATGTTACAGAGAAAAGGAAGATTTTGTACTATCACACATTCAAATTAAAAGAGTATTTACATGCTGCAATCAGAGTATTTACATGCTGTAATCTGTCCACTTATCCTGGATGGGGATTGGGGGCGGAGCCTGTCTCTGGAAGCAAAAGGCAGAAGGCAGCAGTACTCCCTAGATGTGATGAGTACATCGGAGGGCGTGCACACCCTCGTGCGCCAATTTATCTTAGTGTGTGTCTTTAAAAATAACAGTACCCAGAGAAAACTCACACGACATGGAGAGACTGCACACGCATAAATTTGGGTCTGGATTTGAACCCCAAACCCTGGAACTGTAAGACAACAACTCAACCTGCTGTGCATTTACATACAGGAATATTGTTCACGCTAAAAAGTTAAACAAAATATTTTCAATGTCCATGCATCGTCTTCCCTATACATCACATTATATAAAAACCTTGAATGAACAACAAGATGTGTAATAAATTTGTGCAAACCTGCTCTTTGTGTATTATAACTTATCCTCCAACCACTTATAATGGTCAGAGTCATAAGCTAATAAAAATCTAGTAAGCTAATATTTCTATTATGGTCTCTCTGTATTGTTTGAGTCGCCTGGAAGGGTGATAGAACATCTCATTCGTTGCATGTTCCACAAATAAAAATGTCTAATGTTAGATATGGGAATGCGACAGCTGCTGCCACGGTCCCAGGCGGCTTCACTAAGCCAGCCGCTTTGCGACATCCACGTAGGCCAGCTCCATCTCCTGGTTCGCCGCACACGTGTTGATGAACTCTTCTCGTTCATAGGCGTTCTGTAGGTACCGCCGCACTCCGGCCATGTCCTCCGGGATGTCAAAGTCACGGTACTTCTTAGCGACAATCTTAAACGACAAGCAAGCAAACGAATTTAAGTATGTGACTACTCAAAATGCACAAGCAGAATTATCTTCTCCTATTGAACACGTTTTTCAAAAGAATAGTCTCAAAATTGGCCTAATTAAAAATAAGTTTAGGTGTTTTATTTTTATCTACATTATTTGTTTTTATGTACATTAATCGTCCCTACTAATCTTATTTTAAGCTATTAGCTTTGACACAGAAGCATGAAGCTTTATATAATGTGATATCGACTGTTGGGTTGGTAGATTATGTCCATCCAGTACTTGCACCCAGGTTGTGGAATGAACTGCCTCGTCACATCAGGCTGGCTATTAGCCTCTCTGTTTTTAAATGCAAAGAAGGGATCAACCCATGGTGTGGTGCGAACCCATCGCAAGGCACATTTTCCCACAATTCACTCATACACCATTCACTCACACACCATTCACGCACGCACATGCACACCTATGGGCAATTCGGTAACTCCAATCAGTCTCAGCATGTATTTGGACTGTGGGGGGGAACTAGAGCACATGGAGGACACCCTACGACGAGACAGGGAAACCCTGCAAACTCTACACACATGGAGCCATGGCAGAGACTCAAACGCTGGTCCCAGAGGTGTACAGTGCTAGCCACCCCACTTACAGCAATATAGTATACAGTACGTAACTAGTGAAAGTCATTAATCCACCTTAACAATGTGTAGTTTTGGCAGGAGGTTGCAATCAGCCAGAGTCAAGTCATCCCCATCCAGAAACCTCCGGCTGCTGTTGGTATCTTCTGTGACCTCATCAGGAAGGGGGGTGTTCAAGTAGACATCCAGTTTCTTCAAAGCTTTGACCAGTCCCTTCTCCAGAGCTGTGTGGTGCAACTGGGTTACTAGTGTGCAAAATCTGGCCATGTAACATTACTGGTTGCAGTATAATTTTTAAAATATTCCGTGATGCTTACAATCAGAAAACGGTCATGATGGAATGACTCAACGCCGTATTGAACTAAACGTTCAATATTTATAATGCATGAAGGAAATAATGTGTAAATAATGTCAGGCTCACATTTTCTTTGGCACTCAGACTGTGACTGTCAGGAAGCACCATGAAAAGGAGGGAACTTAAACACACAGCCACTAAATTAAAAGTTCCTATTTCAAACAGCCTCGCATCCAATTTGCATGAACATTTTGAAGAGATTAAGATATAGGGAAAAGTGAGACATATATTATCCCGTTACTAACCAGCATTGGCCTCTGGTTTTGTGTTCTTGATGTATGCCGAAAATTTGGCAAAAATGTCATTCCCAGCAATATTTGATTCCCTCTGCTTTGCGGCCAGTTTAGGATACCTAAAGAAAAATAATTGCTTAGTTATTTGTCTGCTGGTGAGTTTTTTGACAGGTAAGTATAATGGGATGTACAAGTTTTAGGTTTAGGTTTTTGAAGAAGCACACCACCAAAACACAAGAAGTATTATACATAGTCCAGTGTCTCTGGAAGAACTGGGCTTAAGCACCTTGCTTAAAGGCCCAATTGTAACACTCTGGTAGACATTGGATTTAAACCCATGACCTTCTGATTGCGAGTATAGAGTACAGCAGCCAAAACACATTTCTGGTTGGTTTACTCATGGGCGTCACCGCCTTTAAATCTGAGGGGGATGTGTCCCCCTCACATTTCGTAATTATTCATTTGGACCCCCCCACATTTAACATAAAATATTAGTTTTATGCCAGTGTGTCCCCCCTACATTCAAAATGCTTCTGACGCCCCTGGGTTTACATACTTGGGAGGCGCTAGGACTTCTTCAAGGAACTCCTCAATCTTATTGATATCAGTCTTGACCTCTCCATTAAATGTGAGGAATGGTGGATTAGTTCCTGGGGCCAGATTATTCAAATCAGGTGGTTTTCTGCAGAAGATAAAAAGGCATTGATGCCCGAGAAGCTCCTTTTCTACCAGTGTTTTTCATCTCAGGCTGACTTCGTTTTTTTGAAAACACAATGCATAATAAACAGCCCGGTGTGCCCTGAAGGCTGAACTATGACATACCTCTTCATATCAATGGTGGTGATGTTGAAGACCACACCTTTGAGCCACAGGATCATGAATAGGCGTTGGGAAAAAGGACAATTCCCAATACTCTCTCCATCAATTCCTGCCTGACAAAGACATGAGCATACATATATATTATGTGAAGACCCCTATTAATTAGAGGAATTGCCCAATTAAGCCACACCCATTGCCGACACAGGTGCATAATTAAGCACACAATCATGCAGTCTGCTTCAACAAGCATCAGCAACAGAATGGGTGGTCATACAGCAGAGGTCAGTGACTTTCCACTTGGCACCATCATTGAATGCCATCTTTTCAATAAGTCAGTTCATTGCTTGATCTGTCCTGGTCAACAGCATGTGAAATTATTGTGCAGGTAAAAACTCCTGGGAGTAAGTTCTGCTGAGAAGTGGTCGGCCACACAAGCTCACAGAAATAGAACTGATGAGCCAACATCCATACCCAACCTGAATGGCCGCAAATCCCACCAGCAATGTTCCAACATCTAACAGAAAACCTTCCCAGAAGAGTACAGGCTTTATAGTAACAAAGGGTGGAGTAACGTCATATTAATACCCTTGGTTTTGGAATGAGATGCTGGTCAAACTGGTGTAAACATACTTTTGGTCATATAGTAAACCTATGTGATTCTCCAGTGATTCTTACCTACATACTAGTTAATGAGTAATGGTTTTATATTTATATAAGACAAATATAACTAAGATAAGATACAGGTAAATATTGAAGACAAATATACCTATATTTTTCTGGGACGTCTATTTTTTTCTATGCATGTATTTAATCATTTCAGAATATTCATCTTTAATCCCTCGTTTAAGGACAGAATGAAATTAGCAGTATAAATGATGTCTCCGGACCTGTCTTGCATGAAATAACTATCAATTTTATCATCATTGACAAAAAATATTCGATGGAAAGCTTGAATGGAAAGCATTATTTCACCAGCATGGATAAAAACATCCAGGATTAAGAGACCAGATTGATATAAAATGTGTCCACTAGGACTACAGCAGTGCAAGGAGAGTGTTAGATTACACCGGTGTGTGGGCTCAGTGTTGAAACAACCGTAACCTCACTGCCAAAATATCCACATAATACCTGAAAGTGACCACCCTGGATCGAACGGAAGGCAATTATGTGTAAAGCTAGCTCTGCAAAACCAAACGACATGGTACCCTTACATGCAGGTAAGTTCACAACACACACATTCAGAGGCAGGTTTTTTTTTTTAAATATCCATCCATCCATTCTCTGTAACCACTTCTCCTATTCAGAGTTGTGGTGGGTCTGCAGCCTATCCCAGAAGTCATGGGCACAAGGCAGGGAACAATCCAGGATGGGCTGCCAACCCAACACAGGCTAAAACTAACATGTAAATGGTATACAAAAATGCAGGGCTATTTTTGAGATACATATCTATAAAGCCGTAGAAAAACTCTATTTGTGCAATGAGTCATAAGCAAATTTGCATACTAATCAAAGGGTATCACATTTTTACGAGGGATAAATTTGGAAATCTAATCCTGTCACTGAAGACTGAAGAGCACTTGAATTATTCATGAAAATTCCATTACTTGCTATGTTAGCTGCTGGACAGGTAAGAGTTTTCAAAGAGCAAGGTTGTACGGGAGAGCTTATGAACCTCTCAAAGTTCAGTGCTATTTCAAACTAGCTTTAGGGCCATGGCAACGAAACTAAATGCTTCTCAAGCTGTCTAAAAATTTACAAAGTGTTGCTCTTTGTTTATTATGAGGTCATCTGAATTCAGACAAGTGTGTAATGGTAAGGCAGGATATGTTTAACTGACATAACTAAAATGTCACTGAGAAGACTGGGTTTTAAGATAGGCATGGAGTTACATTTTTTGTATGTTGCATTTTTACACGAAGTTAGAAGTGTTTTTAGTGAGTATTCCAGAAGGAATTATAACACAAAACTTACAAAAATTGGGAAGAAACAGAGAACTTTATTCCCCGAGCCCTTCAAAGGAAGACTAGAAATTGGTGACTTTAAACAGTATTGGCATAGGCCTATTCACGTTGGAGAGTAACTGTTATTTAATTAATTTATTTATTTATTTTTAACTGGACACTGTATAGTCATCGTGCATGGCAGGAGTGTAGAACTGATGAGGTCACAGACCAGTCCACAAATGTCATATAAACTTGCTTCAAAGAATTACAAAGGACAACTGCAAGTCGGAGTTATCAGGCATTGGCGTTTTACATACTCACATTCTCTGCTGCGCAAACGCACAAAAACACCTTAATAAACATAAGCTACTACCACTGCAAACTGATGGACAGCCACGGTGCAGAAAAACGCAGGTCAACAGGTATGTGGGTGGTTAATTGAAGGCGACTAAGCTGATCTTGTTCATCATAACCCAGTCAATTACAATCATCCATTTTCATAGAAACGTTTACTCTTCCAAAACGGATAAATTGAAACTGATTATTTACGATCATTCCATTTTCATGCAGAAGTCATCACACTTGTTACTGAGCAGTGCTTAAACTGCCAAGCTCTTTTGGTTTGCAAATAGGACCAGCATCCTGGACATGTATTTCATTTAATTAACAAATTTTATACTGTCTTAATTTGAATGGCCCCTTGCCTCCAGATCGAGTCATTATCAAAATTGATACGATATATATATACAATTATAAAACCATTACGATAATAAACCATAAACTTAACGTCTTATTCTATGTCACGTGTGTGGGAACGAAAAAAAGTATACGGGGAAAAAAATGTATATAGAGGTACTTTCTAAACTTGTGTGAAAGCTTTAACCCGCAGAGTAGAAATAAAGATACATCTTTAATTAATAAAAAGATTCATATTTAATTAGATTAAATATCGAAATATGAAGAAAAAGAATAATTCTATCAGAATTATTCATTATATAAAATTTATGGCGACCTGTGTTCTTGTAGTCATCGGACATCTTCCAATGAATGGCGTTCATTCTTCACACAACATCAGGAATCGGGCACTGGGCAAGGTGTGATAGTAACTCTATCACAAGTGTCACGTTACGGGAGCCTTATTTTAAACAGAGGGATGCAAGCTCAGTACCTAGAAGTTTCTTGCGGTAATATAAAAACGCACTGGGATCTCAGATGGCTTTTATAACATTTCTGTTATGCATCATTTTAAAATAGATTAATTTTGTTACTGACGAGTTACACGCAAACTCGTCTTACCTTCACAAAAAGCTCAACATCAGGGTCCTTGTCCTCCCCGTTTATGGAAGAGTCGTCTGCCATGCTTAACTTTACCGGCTTTTATCGGTCCCAAGATCGGTGGCGCGTCAGGTCTCGTCCGTTATTGTCCCTTTTGCGTACATCCTAAGTTTCCTTTTGTCCAGGCAATCTGACGATCCCTGTCTTTTTGCAGCACTATGATTGCTTAAATTAGCTCTAGCAGTAGCCGCTTCACCTGGAGCCCAGCTGTCAGTGCATTTGGGGACTCGATGTCAGGGGAAAGAAATAAAATATCCAGGAGGGTGGAAGGATGCCTGGCAGGTCAAACGTGGAGGAGAGGAGGAGCTTGCAGCCTCCTGAGCTGTGGTGCATGTGGCCTCTTCCGAAGCTGGTTTAATGGCACATTCATTTTTAAGAATGGGTGAGGACACAGTAATGTAGATTTTGTAGGTTAGTGTAGGCAAACTCTTACGCATGACTGACGTCATAATCCCTCATCGCAGATTTTTCATTGCAAGCTCATTGGGCTCTAAAACACCGGGAGTGATTTCAACCAGATAGGAGTAGGTCAGTCATTCTCCTATAATCAGTTCAAATATCTGCATAATACTATTCTCATTCTAATTGTGATGTTAGGAAGATCTTTATACTATATACAGTGATGGGCACAGCCAACCGAAAAGTTAGCTTCCATAACCGCTAATCTGCTAACTCCAAGGTTTAATTCAATAACGCTAAACTGATAAACCACAACAAAATTTAGCAGAAGCTACCAATAACTGCTAATTTTTTTTATATGAATTTAGCTTCGGTTAGGTGTTTGGCTCTGAAACCCTTAAAAACATACTTAGAGAGCTAAAATCTGAACTTGTTTAACACTGAAGTCCCAAATGTCAAACTAGAGTGATTACCAAGGGATATTTAGCACTTATCATTGGATTCTGTAGAGCAGGGGTCTCAAATTACCGGCCTGCAAGACATCTTTTCATGACTTTGTCATAGACAAATGTACAGTAGGTAAATATTTGTAGGTTTTTAGTTAATCTTATACATCAACACATTGTACAACGTAAGGGAATTAAATATGTTAAGTATAGCTGTATAAATAATTTGTGCATGTAGGCAATCAACCATTTTCTTAATTGGAAAATTAAATTCCAATAAATTGATAGCAGCATGGGGGCGACATGGTGGTGCAGTGGGTGGTGCTGTCGCCTCACACCTCTGGGACCAGGGTTCGAGTCTCTCATGTGTGTGGAGCTTGCACATTTTCCCTGTGTCATCGTGGGTTTTCCTATGGGTACTCTGGTCTCCCCCACAGTTCAAAAACAGACTGAAGTTGACTTGAGTTTCCAGATTGCCTGTGTGAGTGTGTCCTGTGATGGGTTGGCACCCCATCCTGGTTTGCTCCCTGCCTTGCACCCATAGGCTGTGGATCCCCTTTGACCCTGAACAGGATAAGCAGTTACATATCTGGTATATCCATAGCAGGCTGAATCTCTAGATGACTTAAAAAGGACATTGCTGCCTTGGAAAAGGTTCAATGTAGGGCTACAAGGATGATTGCTGGTCTTAGAGGAATGTCTTATGATGGAAGGTTAGCTGAGCTGGATCAGTTCAGCCTCACACAAAGGAGATCAAGGGGGAACATGATCCAGGTATATAAGATTCTAACAGATCTTGATGCTGTTCAGCCAAACATTTTAACATTTTAAACTGAATTTGAGAAAACACTTCTTTACACAGCGTGTAGTTGGAGTATGGAATAGTCTTCCTACTAGTGTAGCGGAAGCTAAAACCCTGGGTTCGTTTAAATCAGAGCTAGATACAATTTTAACAACTCTGAGCTATTAGCTAAGTTCTCCCCAAACAAGCTTGATGGGTCGAATGGCCTCCTCTCGTTTGTAAATTTCTTATGTTCTTAAGATGGATGGATGGATGGATAGCAGACATCCCACCTTAGGCATATTTATTACATGGAGGAGGATGAAGAGCATCCAGAGGCAGGGGGTCAGGGGGCACCAGGCCCAGACACACTGCTCGTCTCACTGTTGTGCTCTGCTACTGCAAGCCTGGTCTCTCTACATTGAGTTTACCTTTGATAATGACCGTCAATAATAGAATGTTTAGTGTAGAAATCCACAGACCATAAAGCTGACCAGTTTGAATCAGCAAGCAGTCACATGATTTTTGTCTACCCTTATTCAGAGCGAGAGATACGTCTATGATATATAGCCTAGACGTTGAAAGTATAGTGAAAGATGTCAGTTATGTAATGTTGGTATGACGTCAGTTTGACTATCAACAGATCTTGTAGCTGTCTATTTCCCCTGAGAACCGCTGACCTCACGTATGAAAAATAGGCCAAATCTCTAGATGACTCGCCGCTGCTGTGAGGTGTGTGTCGCATCTGACACACGTGTCTCCGGCAGGCAGTGCGGTTTCTGTAACCTGTTAACATGGGCGCCGAAATGAAAATGAACATTCCACAGCCGACATGCAAACGCCACACAGCCGGTGTGTGCCGGGCTTTACGGTAACACCGTATACCGCGATATTTATGGTATTTTGGGTAGAGTGTGGTATTTTAGTTCAAATACCGTATACCACAGTATGGACCGTGTTAATGTCAGGATGGTATGACGATACTAAAAATCCCCCCAAGATGTGATGCCAGCAGTACAGTTTGCCAGCCAAGGTGCTGCCAACTGGACAGGACGGGGTTGTGGTGGTGAAGCTTGTTGCTGGCTAATGTTACTGCTGCTGAATAGCGGAACGGCATATTTCCAGGACATTGCGCATCCCTGCATTCCAAGAATAATTTGGCATACGATCAGAGTTTCAATCAGCCCTACCCAATATAAATCTGACTGACTTTGGTCTCAACCATTCATTAATTTTCCAATTCCTTACCTGGTTTGCAGACACAGAGAGGCTTGCAGCGTCCTGCAGCCTGGAGCAAATGGCTGGCATGCAGCCTGGACGGGTTGCCCGCCCACTGCAGGGTATATATACACTCACAAGCTACAGGCAGCAGACACACCAATTAGACTAACTGCACATCTTCGGAGAGGAGGAGGAAAGCAGAGTACCCAGGTGGAGCACGCATGACACAGTGACACCATGCCAATGTTTCACACACACACACACAAACATACGTTTTTCTTCACATCTTTATGGGGACCGTCCATCCATTTCTATGGGATGGCAACCATAACCCCTACCTAGCCCTAACCTTAACCGCAAATAAAGTAATCGTAAGTAATAAAATCATTTTTCCCCAAAAATAGTCCCCACAACATAAAAATAACAGATTTTATCACATTGTGGGGACATTTGGCCTAGGCTATATATCGTAGACATGAAAAAAATATATAAATATTGTGATACTCTGGGGGCTGGACTGTAAACAAATTTGGTCCCCACAATGTAATATATACATACACCCCCCGACACACACACACACACACAGAGCGCAGAGGGGGATTCAAACACCAACCTTGGAGCTGTGAGGTAGCAGTGTTACCTTCCTCTTCTGACATCACAGTGAGATCAGCACACAGAAAAGAGAAGCTCTGGATTTTTATGCTCATTCTACATGCGCAGTTGCACTAGTACAATTAGATGAGCAGCAATTTCTACCGATGCATGCACATACTGTACATTTATGTAAAGAAATGTAACCAGAATAAAATACATTAGTCACGCATACAGAAAGTATAAAACGAAGTTTGTTATATTTGAGGTTCACGATATTGCACTGCGTTGAGCAGGCATGTGGTGTTCTTCATCTTTCACCAGGATGCAGTATGAAATTAAATGATCCTTTATTTGCCATTTGTACAAGTATAAGTGCAGGTACACCGGAATGCTTATTTCACACATTCCATCTTCTCTTCTTTGAGACATTCTAACATGAAGCTAAGCTTCTTCTGGGGGTGCAAGGTGAGAGAGCTCAACCAGTTATTCATCCACACAAAAATTAGTAAATACATTCAATTTAAAGACCCCCCATAAATTCTGATTAAATTATTACTACACATTGATATGATTAACACAATCCATATTTTCAAATATAATGTTACAGTACTTTTTAATTTCAATGAACGTAATATGTGCAAATAGCATTTTTTTCTGACCAGAATGGCGCCCCCTACACCCACTGTATAATCACTTGTGTTTAAGGTGAACAGACCACACCAGTTCCCAAGCTTCACTTAAAAGAGTCAGAATAAAGAGCCAACTCGCTTTTGATTTACCCTTTTGCCATTGATTTCAGACTTGGCCGTCTCGGATTGACCTTCTATTTTGAAACGCCCAAATGGAAACTAAATTCAATCAATAAAGAATCAGGACTCCTACAGGTCCTTGTTTAGATAACCATTCGTCGATTTTCAAAAGTCAGGTGGTTATAATGTCACGTTTTCAAAGCAATGATCTTTTTCTTCCTGTATTCCCCAGAAACTCATAGGAAACGATATGAATACTACCAACCGTGGGTGCAGTGGGGGGATTTGTAACATAACTGGATTGCTTAAATGGGGCCNGGGGGGGGGGGGGGGGCTGCAGTTAGGAAATTTGTAACATAACTGGATTGCTTAAATGGGGCCCAAAATCTCTAGCAATATCCCTGCTTTCAATTCCATACAATAAAACTATATGCAATGAACAATGATTCATCCCAGAATAATATATATTGGGGGATATTCAGACGTGCTCAGAATGCCCCCCCCTCTCCCGCCCAATATATATTATAATTATGGCCTTGGTCCCCCCCAACCCACTGTTGACTACATGGCTGCAGTCTTGTCCAGAACAGACTTGTGCAACAAATATTCTACACTGCAGCATTTTCCGTACGACAGGAAGGTAAAATGCGTTTGCTGAATAAACAAATATACATGGAATGAACAGTATATGATCAGAAAGCCATTAAATCGGACGGCTTTAGGACAGCGCCATTGCGCTGTGAATACCCACTGCTTGCTGTGCCATATGTCTGGTCCTCTAATAAATCCTTAGATGAGTCGCACATTGCAGCAATTCGGGCGAAGCTCGCAGACTCGCGGCGCATCACTGCTTCGTCTGCGGGCAGCCGGCACCTGACAACGCCCCCTCTCCTCTTTTCCCCGATGCACAAAATTATGCATTAAATTTACCTCTGAATGGGGAGAGTCAATGCACTAACGTGATATGCGAATCGTGTTGGATGAAATAATGGATTGTTAAGTCAATTAGGAAAATCAGGCGCGTCTTTAATACGGAGGCGAAGAAAAGCTGGATCAAGGGCGCATCAGCGAAAAACAGGTGAGTCAGCGCACTTGCACTTTATCATTGCATTTCTGTTCATTATCCAATCACTGGAAAAAATGAATTAATGCATGACTTGTTTTAACAACACAATTATTAGCGTTAAAATAATAAGCATAGGCTCGTATTCTTCCTGTTTAACGAATCATTGCCATTGAATGACCATCGTTAAGCATTCGTTTAATATTTTATATATTTTATATTTCATATTTTATAATGTTTGAACGTAATGTGTTGTCAAGCAATCAAAATGTTGTAATGCTGAATGCTACGTTTTGGTAGTGAGCAGCGCATGTATTTGTAATTATAATACTGTGGATTTCCATATCATTTATTAAAAAATATTGGTCCTGCCTTACACGCCAGATGGCACGCCTGTCCTGTTTATGTGAACTGTAGGCTACCAAACAAGACGCTAGTCTCAGCCTATCACTTACAGTCTCCGTTTATTCTGCAAGACGTCTGGGGCGGCTTAGGTTATGCGGTTCGTGGGAGTTTCGGCGTCAATTCACCGACTACATTACCTCTCTCTTACGTGGCCTTGAAGCGGGTCTTTGCAGTGTAGCCCTGTGCACAAATACTGCATTGTAGCGTCTCCCGGATGCTTTGGCCCGAAATAAAGCCTTTACTTGAGGTATCGCTCCTTGCTGCGGTAAGGATCTAACCGAGGTAATGTGATTAATTAGTTCACTCCAGACGGGAATTTGAAAAGGTACTTTGGTCCTGTCTCCCAAGAGATTTTTTTTCATTCACTTATGTGGGACAAAGTTTCAGAAAAGTATAAAATGTTTCTCATAGCCATGCATCATGTATAAACCCACACTGTAGTTTGTCATTTAAAAAGAATATATAATTACCTATTTTGCGAGACATATCCTAGATATAATGTTAGTTTCCCACGGCATTGAACTTTAAAGTGCATTCTGAGTTTAAATAAGAGGTACCTGTTCTTCAGGGTATAGTAGGGGTATGGGTACCCTGGCAGATTCAGGGGGGCCAACACTTTACAGGGGTCCTTGAATATGTAAAATCATATGTAAAATTTAGAGGGGGATCCAGGATGACATTTGTCAGGGGCCCCAGAAAGTCTAGGGGCCCCAGAAAGTATAGGTGCCCCTGGCTGGACTCCGACTATGCTATGAAATATCTCTGTTAAGCATAACATTTATTATATATTTTGGCAAGTGAGCTAGATGCAAACAAACTTTTAGTTTTGAGTGGGGGGAGGGAAGGTATTTATTTTAATATGTGTACTGCTGTGTCTACTGTTCAATAACAGTGGTGATGACAGATGTACAAGTTTCATGTATCTGCTGAAAAGCCCCCCCAATAACAGCCCTACTGACCCCCTGATCCCGGGGCCACCGGACTGTGTCCCCTCTGAACTTAAGCTTGCACCTGTCAGCAGGGGTGTCTCTAGAGATTTTGGGCCCCCATCCCAGACCAATCCAGTTCTGTTCCAATTATTTTGCACTTGGAATCATCCTAACCTCCCCCCCCCCCCCCCCCCTCACAGCGCCCCCTGCCTGTCAGTGATATAAAAACTTCCCCAGCCTCATGAAAAGATCTGTAGCATTAAGTTTATATAACATGCTTATCATATACCAGTGCTTCATCAGTGCTTTTGTTATAGATATTTGACAAAATAATAAATGCAATGTCCCTAATTTCCCGAGACCCACGACGTATGTATAATCATTAAATGAACAGACATTCCAAACAGAAAAAGAATATGCCCCTGCATTCTTATGTATTATAGCAATAGTACAAGTTCCGCCAAATGTTATTCCAGCTGAACAAATTCAGAGTCTAATGGATTTTCCAGAGTGAATGATAAATTCATAAAACACAACGGCTCTTCTTATAGACTGAACTAGACTTGGATGACGTCTCAGGTAACACTGGCCCTCTCAACTATTCCAGATGTTAAAGCTGTATTAGAAAGCTACCAAAAATGTGGCAAGTATTTGTAGTATTTGAGCAGTGTTGACATGGCGGTCGAGGAGATTTGTTAACTCTCATTAACTAGGTAGAGAACACATGTTGCACTTCCCTCCTCCTCTAATTAATTTGCCTTAGTACTTGTTATCTAGTTAGGCATTCAGCCTGCATAATCAAAGTAGTGTGATCTAATCCTTGTCAGAGGGACACTATGAGCTACTTCAGGTTTTACAAACTACTTTAAAGCTCAAAGGCTCTTGTGATTGGCTAATTAGTTCAATTCTTCTTGTGCTTTGACTGGTTTGTTTCTTTGATTAAAAGACTCATCCATCTGTTTCACATTAACATTAGTAATACATTCATGATTATAGGAGACTGACCAATCAGCACGCAGCACGAGTTCAGTGCTTAAGTTCAATCTGGGTCCATTTAATTGAAATAGTTGAACTTGCAGTACACAAAAACCTGTCGTAGCTCATAGGGTCCCTCCTGATATGGATTAGGTGATTACCCTAAATCAAGGAAGTTAAGACTGAGTTTTTATACTGTTCATCAGAATCCAAAACCTTTTATTGCACAATTATGGTTTGGTCTGTGGAAAACAAGGACTTACAGAAATGTTCTCAGGCAATTCAGAGGCTTTGATGCAATCTGGTTAAAAAGGCTGGAGAGTAAAACTTATTCTCACACTCAAACAAAGCTGCCCCATGAACAGTAGGAGTCTTCCTATCAGGTTAATATATCCCATTATGAAAATCATCATTGATGTCTCCAAGGGAAATAATGGTTTCCATGGTTTTTTCAACTAACAGAAAGCATTTTTTGAGTGGGGATAAAATAGCACTACAAGATATGACTGGATCCACACTGGACATGTCAGCAACCTTCTGCGTATGAAATGGGGTAGAGGCCTTTATTCATTTGGAGACGCCAACCAGCTTGGGTGAAGCACGTCTTATGGATGCATCTGTTGCAATGCTGGAAAATTCTATGAGCCCTAGAGAGGTGATTTTGTAGATGCTGTGAGTGCCCACTCAAGGTAACACCAATAGCTTGTATGGAATGTGACAAACAAACCTTTGTGACCTTTCTGCCTTATGATTCCAAGGCCTCCTGCCAACACCATAGAGACCATTCTGGGGGAGTGATTAGTGCTGAACTTTATCACTGGGAAGGCAACAGCTACACAGAGATTATTCATATGAAACTGGTTTATAGGTCTGTAAAGTCAGCTGTGTTTTTTTTACCGGTGAGGTATCCTTCAGAAGTATATATAAAGTTAATACGTTTAAATTTTCCCATGAGGCTGACCAGGATAGAGGGAGGATATAAGGGAGATATATGGATGGATGTGTGGATGGTTGGATGAAGTGTTGGACAGACATTTAAATATAGAAATGACATGGCATGCATAATGTAAATGTGTTATTGAATTTGGATGGCAGTAATATTTGCTGAATAAAACTCGGACACCTGCCATATTACCATTCTGAAGTATCTCTTTGGTAACTTCAAATATAAATCAGTATATCTCAGAACTGTGCTTCAAAGAAGCAGTGAGGTCAGTGAAGAAGCAGAGATGTACTAGTTGAAAACAAACTTCACCCCTTGAACTCGTCTAATAAATGATCTTTTTCTTAATGACAGAAACTAAAAGACCTGTGTCATTTTGGAAGCTATTGTTTCTTTGCAGCGTGAGCTATCTTCCTGGAATAGTGTGGAGTCACTCTAAAGAATGAATCCATTATTTTGTTTCTACATGCCCTCTATTAGTGCTCCTTGTCATTAATATTGTTTCCCCTAAAAAGGCCACGTAGTTCACAGGCACCTACAAACTGCATCCTTTAGTGAGTGGGGTGCCATCTCGGTTGGACAGAAAATGCACCAGGCGACAAATGGAAAAGAAAGCTATAAATGCCGGCACTCCTGGGGTTCCCAGTTTAGCAGGCAGATGGTTGTCCCAGATTCAATAATCATTTTCCAGCAGGGTAGCAGAAACTTGGAAACACATGGCTGGGGTCCCGCCTGACAGTCTCCGGAATAACCCCGAAAATAAACCTTGAATGTGCCACAGACATGATTATAATTTTAAAGTTATGAGGAAGAGTCAAGAGCAATAATTGAGCAATTGTCTGGATGGGAAGACCGGATGGTTTCACAATGTTTGGCCTGCGTTGCTCGGCCACACTGGAATTAAGGAAGTTGTTGGACCAGGAAGTTTTCAGGAGTAAAAGTGATGATGCATCTGGTCATGTTTGTTGTTGTGGAAACGGCCTGCTCATATACAGTAAGGATGTAAATTTTGGTGGGAGCAGGCTACTGTTTTGCTATGATACATGATCACGATTAGGTCAGTTTTGTTATTTTTTTTCTGATTAGTGAATTGACGCTTCTGAGAATTAATTACGCTTTCAATGTCATCTAAAAATTTGGATTGAGGCACGGATTAAGTTATTGGCTAGTTAGTATATTTTTATATTTATTTTCACTATCGAATCACCTGGTTAATTTAGGTTTTTATTAGCTTGCTGTATGTTCATTTTTATCTGTTTTACGAATTATCAATTTTAAGAATGTGTCATTTACTGTAGGTTTTGATTCATAGGAAGCCAACAGATGGTTGCGCCAACTAGCAGCAGCACTGGGTCTTGGATTCCCATAATGCAGTAGTCAGAACTGAAGCATGAGTGAATAGCCTGTGATGTTAGGAATCCTACAATGTTTCATGATGAGCAAATATATTGCTGCAGCAAAGCATGCATTGTGGAAAACAGGCTTAACATAGGACAGGAATAAGAGGAAATTCTACATTCCACTTATAGTAAAGGAGCTGAAGGAGCATGAACTGAAACTTACTTTAAATGCAGACTCAAAACGAGGATGAATGAAGGATGAACTTTTCATGATTAACTTGCAAACTGACAACAAAAAAGTCTTTTCATGAACAATCATGAACACGTTTTTTTTTTAAAATCTTTTACTATCCAGGAAAATGGAAGATAGAGTGTTTCATGTATGTCTTTTTCTCTTTTATAGAACTGGTTTGGTACACGGACATCCTCTTCATTGTCTGGACTTTTTTATTTTCTCTGGATGAACATCATATCTAATACATCACAAAACACAATAAGCACAATGAACTACAATGGCTTTAATTAGATTTCCATTATGCACTCTTACCTGTATCCAGACTAGTATTTCATTTCTGAATGAAATGAAACAAGTTTTATTTCGCAAAATGAACTGCTAAATACTAGTGAGACCTGCCAAATAAAGTACAGGATGAACATTGATCCCTGTCTTGAAATCCATTTCCATGTTTTGTCAGCTTAACGTCAATTAAAACATCTCATTAATAAATGCCGGAAGGCAGAACTACCACGGATAACAGTTACTGATTTATTGACAATTAGTGAATTCTCAGAAATTTTCTAGGGATCTTTGGTGTGTTTTTTCTTAAATTGACCATGGATAAAGTGTCACCCCCGCAAACCAATACTAAGGACAAAAGTCAAAGTGACCAGGAGGATGTTGCTGTTGTCCATGACGACCACCTTAGAAAGCTGAAGGCTTTGACAGAGAAGCTGAGGTTGGATATACGGAAACCTTCTTATTTGGAGTGGAGGGCTCAGCTGGAAGCTAAGAGCATGAAGGGCCTCAAAGGTCAGGAAGAACAGGCTGGGCCCAAGGACAAGACACTGTCATCCCTGAGGTGGCCAAAACGACCGCTCTACGGCTCGGCAATCATACAGGACGGCAGTCTGTCTTCAGGGGGTCTGAGAGGGTTTGGCAGTATTGAAGAGGCTCTGATCTGGGTCAAGAAGGAGCTGGTAAGGAGCCAATACCTACAGTTTGTTCTGATTTCTACACTAAAGGAATGTTGAGTGACTGTGGTCCAGTTCTGAAAGTTTTATATCTACTACAGATTATGCTTTGTTTGTATGTACTTTAAAAAATGTGATGATTCTAATATTCACAGCTCTGGAGAAAAAAATTAAGAGACCACAGCACAGTTTTTTTTGTTTCACTTATTTCTCAATTTATGGATGTGCATCTGTGAATAATATATATTTTTTTGCAAACTGCAGCTTGCAAACTGCTTCTCATTAAAGAAGAGCTTCTTCCTTGCTTTATGGGACTTCAGTCCTGCTTCTAGGAGCCTGATATGAACTGTCCTAGCAGTGCACTTCACACCTGCACTTAATGTTTCCCCATTCCTTTTGAAGGTCACTTGATGTCATCCTCCAATTCATGCGAAACTGTCGGATATGTTGACAGTCATCTCTGGAGATAAAACATCACTTCCTTCCTTTACCTGGAAGGTTGCTGGTCATTGAAAGTGTTTCCTGCTTCACGCTGTTCTTGTGTATTTCTGGCTTAGAAATTTTGAACCTGGAAGCAACCTGCTGCTCAGCATAACCTTCTGCCAGCAGAACTAGGATTAAACCAGAATTTAAAAATGCACATTTGTTTAAAAATGTAGAGTGGTCTTAATTTTTTCCAGAGCTGTATATAGAATGAAGTTCCACCCATGGGCCTGTGGTTTGTGAGAGTGGCTCCAGGGTTTTACTGAAACACTGCTTTGAGTAACTGGTTAGGGAAAATGCACCGATGGATTATTTGGTGAACTATTCACCAGGGGGCTATTCCACAAGGACTTCCCAGGATTTCCCAGTTAGCTGGATAACTTAAGCCAAACATGGAGACTGCCCGATAGCAAGAGAGGTACGTGACATTCCTTACATTTGGCTTAAGTTACCCGGCTAATAAAGAAGTCCGGCTTCGTGGAGTGCCCCCCAGGATTTGTATTACTTCCCCAGGAATACATTTAATTCATTTTCAGACAATTTTATTTGAACAGTAGAAGCTTATAGTTTGTGTGCTGCCTGGGATTTGAACTCACAACCTTTGTGTTGTTAGTGCAATAGTTCTCAATCCTATTCCTGACATTCCCTCTGCCAGAATGTTTTCATTCCAACCCATGCTGCTTTCAACCTGCCACATTCATTATTAGCCTATTAAGGACCATCTGAGCCTGATTAAGGTAGGGTTGGAATGAAAACATTCTGGCAGGGGGGCCGCCAGGAACAGGACTGAGAACCACTGTGTTAGTGCAAAACTCCATTTGTTGAGCTATAATAGCTATGATAACCATTCCTTTACAAAGCTTGGAACCATAGACATAATCCTAAGGGTCCTCAATAACATGCTTGAGATACGTAGATGTTGTTTCACGCCATAGACGGAGATGCGAGTACAGGACCAGCAGCTGGCCCGGCAGCTGATGCGCCTGCGCAGTGACATCAACAAGCTGAAGATCGAGCAGACGTGCAGCCTCCACCGGAAGATGCTTAACGACGCCACGTTCGAGCTGGAGGAGCGCGACGAGCTATCGGACCTGCTCTGCGACTTCCCCGTCGGCACAGGCTTCAGCTTGTCAGCGCCCCTCAAAGTCATCGGCGTCACGAAGATGAACATCAACACCCGTCGCTTTTCTCTCTGCTAGTGTGCTAAAGAGCGGCCCTAGAGCAGTGGTTCTCAAACGTTTTTGGACTATGTACCACTTTGGATCAAATCAACGTGACCAAGTACTACTTGGTTAAACAACTCTCTTAGTCTGAATACAATATGTGTGAGCATGTGTGAGGTGGAGATTTCAGGTCCAGAGAGTATGAATCCAGAACCAGATTTTGTTTCAACCAACCAGTTGAACACCCTGTGACTGTGACTCGTTATTCTCAACTGGTTGGTTGAAACAAAATCTTGGTCTGAATTTTTACTCTCTGGACCTGAAATCTGTACTACTGGCACACACAAAAACACCATTTCAGTGTGAGGGGTGAGCTTCTTTGGTATGCAAAAGCTTTGAAATGTCAGGGATTAGTTTATTTGTGATAAGATTTGAGCTTCACTCCAGGCCAGCATTCATGTAGCTATGATATTTTGTTTTTTCAGTGCACACAACAAATTACCATGGTCTTCTGGTATACCACCTGGCGCCGCTCTGAATACCACTGGTGGTATGCATACCACAGTTTGAGAACCAGTGCTCTGGAGAATTGTCCACCAAGCAGTAGATTTCACAGCATGTTCTTGTAGGTCCACATGCACTGGAAAATGTTTAGTAGTTCTGGTCTCCCACCCAGCTTCATAAGTGCCAGCTTGATGTGTGACACACTGATTACTCTGGAAAATTCCAGACCTGTAGGCCCTGCTAACCTCTCTTTGCCAGCCACTTGGAAATTATGAATTATGTAGAACATGCTATCAGCGTGGTTATGTGATGTGAGTAAACGCCTTAATGCTGTGTGACAATGATTGTGTCTGAACTTGTGATTGTATCAAAGCGTAGTGGCAGGGTTGATTTTAGTGGTGTGGCACTAAAATGTCTTATTCTTTTAAGTTTCGGGCTTTTATGTGATTAATTAAATCTTATATAATATTATTAAATATTACGATATGTAATATCATACGGTACACCGTGATGTATATGTTATGGAAAGCACAGCAAAGTGTTCCTGGTGTGGATAAACATTTCAGTTTGATCTAGTTGTATTGGTTTTAATTACAGAATTTACAGAATTAGAATATCAGCAATGTCACGACGAGCTTATGCAATAAATATTTACATTGTTTATTTTTATTTTAAACTATTATCGAGTTTATCGTCATTTAAAAAATAATTTTAGATATGAGTCATATGTGTCACGGTTGCGGAGAGGCGAGCAGGGAAGCAGGGGAACGGAGCCAGGAAGTCGGGTTGAATGGGGTTTATTCGAGGAAGACGGGACCGGGGAAGCACAACAGGCAACATTAATGACGAGTCTGGGGAAGACTGACTCAGACGAGGACTAAATACAAAAGACAAGCCACGGACAACGAGCCACAGGTGAGAACAATCAGGGCGAAACAGGAGGTAATGAGGTGGGCGTGGCACACATCGGGAGCGGACGGAGCGGGGCGTGACAATATGTAAAGGGAGAATCAGTCGGGCCATAAATCCCAAAAGGACTGATACAGACCCCCTTCCAAAAGCCCGCCAAATGG